CAAATATGAGGCGGCTTGGGCATGGGCAGGCACGTCCGCCGTGTTTGACTGACATTGGGTTCCCATAGGAAAACACCTGAAACCCGGATGATCTAACGAGCGTCTACTTAGATGGGGTTTGAACTTCATGGCGCCGCTCCAGCACGTCACCCAAGGGCTAAAGTCTGGCTATTTAAGCCGGACAACGTCCCCCTACCTCAAGCACATCCACTCCCTCTCTCTCTCTCTCTCTCTCTCTCTCTCTCTCTCTCTCTCTCTCCGCGCCACTAGCGTGAGCCCATCCACCTCCCTTCCTCTCCACCTCACTCTTCCCTCGTTGTCCGGCTTCGCTATGGCCCGACAGAAGAAGACCACTTAGCTATGCTAACGGCTGAGCGCCGCTTCCAGATGCTGGACGAGATCCGGGCGAGGCGCGCCGCCCTCATCGCAACCGCCCTGCCTCCGGACTCGCCGGAGCCGGAGGAGGAGGAAGAGAAGGGGGGTGCAACGGCCAGTTCCCATGGAGCTGGTGCATCCGAAGGAGACGGACGCGGGGATCTAGAGAATGGTCGGAGTTGCGGCTGCCTCCCATGAACCCGAAGCATGGCACAAGGATCGTGGATATCTTCGACGAGGACTAGGGTAGTGTAGGTAATTTGATCTATGTAGTACGTACATTTTTCTATTTTGCATGTCTTATATAGACTAGCAAACATGCTCGTGCGTTGCAACGGGACAATGAATATTTTTTACCTGAGCCGCTATCATTTCGATCTAATTTTGATTCTGACTCGTCATATTGATGACGTGCACCTATGACCACACTCAGGAATAATTTTTGTGGTGTCGTTCGACACCGATGAGGCCACATTTATAAATTAAGTCTATTTAAGAAAACCTATATGTATAGTCATCACATGCAACATATGAAACACAAATTAAAATTGTACTTATCGGTTCCACTATTAACATTCGTGACTATCACACGAATAGTTAGGATGTTTTGAAAATAGACATTCATGTACGTCTGATGTTCATGAATTTTATAAGTGTATGTACATCCTATAAAAATTGTTTGTGTATTCACCATAGAAAAATTGTGTTGTCCGTTGATAAGTACGCGCGTCGATTCCGCCAAGAAAAGGTACGTACGTAGGGTCTTAGATCATGAAACATGTACAAAGAGAGAACCTGGTGCAACTACAACATGCCCAAGGATTATAACCTTTCCCAAATTTAAACGTTTAATTTTACATGTTGCAATACAGATCGCTGGTACGAAATAATGACGAAATGTGCGCCATTGATTAACATTGCACCCTAAATAGCATTTGAAAAATATTTAACATGTAAAAATAATGTCATATTCAAATTCTAGATATTTTTTAATCAAATTTCATATATAACATGTGTAAAATTGGAATTGTGTTTAAAAGATACTCCCTCCATTCCCTTATACAAGGCCACTATCAAAAATGCATTTTGCATCAATATAAGGCCACCAACAGTAGTAATCAAGGCAAAAATTAATGATGTTTTCTCATACTAGCAACATTTTAATACTTACATGCATGTAGTCATAATGACACTCGGTCACTTCCTTCCCTTTCATTCGTTGCATGCTTGTGGTGTACTAATGATCCCGGTTAACAAAAAGAAAAGTTGACTTGCAAAGGAGTCATTAAATTTTATCTTGGTACCTGTAATATGAGTTTGTGGCCTTGTATAAGGGAATGGAGGGAGTATGGTTATTTGAAAAAATATTTGTTCTCAATAGACTGCGGGGTGATTAACACATATATCGGGGGTTTATGTAAAACTACAAAATAACGGTTTGTTGTGACTTAAATATGGACCATGGGTTAATTAGTAAAGAAGGCATGGGGTTTTGTGTAAAATGCAAAAAAAAATATCGTTCTCACTCAATGATGGACTATGGGTTAATTAATGAAACTGGCAGGTGGTTTTCTAAAAAAAGATGTGACATAAGTGTTTCTTCTTTATTATTATATATAAAAAACATAGGAAAGACATTTGAATATGTATTTACTTTTCTAGAATCGTATTGGACAAGATCCAACTTGGTTCTTACCTTTCTAGAATCCAGATTGTTCTAGTCTTCTTTTATTAGAGTATCATATAAACATGTTATGGCTGTGTGCATCAAGAGATGCAGAGGCCGAGAGTATTCCTTCTTTTCGGAAAAAAAACCCGGATAAGCATGTGGATATATGCTTTTAGAACATATGAGCCGGTAGAGTTGGGGGGGGGGGTCAATTAGGGCCACGTGACAGAATCTTATGAGTTGAAAACTATATTCAACAGATGATCATGCTCGGATTTGCCATCTCTTGATTATTCGATGGGCATATCTAACAACTAATATTTGAAGCTATTGGCACATTATATAATGAATTATATAATGGTATAGAAGATAGAGATTTAAGATTTCAAATATAAGAAACCCAGACGCATAGAAACAAATTTAGATGTGATCGGTCCGCGTACACGCACAGTTCGGTTCGAGGCCCGGATTTGCTGTTGCTCTTACGAGTATTGGGCGGCAGCATGTCTCTGACGCATGACGTTCTTCCTGCGCCGGCCCCCGGCCACTAGCTGCCACGGAGCGCCCTTCCTAGGTGTGTGCCCCGGCGAGCCGACGCGTGCCCCGTGCACCCCGTCCGAAGCTGTACACGCGGCGGTCGATCCGCGCCCTCGCGAGCCTGCACAAGGCGCCCGTACGTGATGACTCGAGTAGTAAAAAGGTCAGGCTCCGGCCAATGGCCCATCGACACGGCGTTGCTGCTCTTCTCTCGGACCTGCAGCCGGAGGGCCAGGTATAAGACGCGGCGCAGCGCCGAAGTCCGCCTGCCTCCACCGCTCCACGGTTGGAGGTAGCGGCCGGGAGGCAGCCAAATGGCGACGCTCGCATCCACTCCCTTCGTTCGTCCAGGCGTCGCCGGCTGAGTGGTAACCAAAATATCTTCCCGCCCCTGTTGTTGATGTGTTTCCTGCCTGCTTGTATTGCTTTGTGTCACCTTCTTCCTCCCATGTCTGTTTGCTCTGCTGCTGCCTCGATATGTTCCCTGTCCAACTTGCTTTGCTTTGTCCGGAGAGATCGTGTTCTTGCTTATGCTTAGAAATCGTGTTTCGTCCCATGGTTCGTCGTTCGTACGTGACTACATGGCCTCGCTGGTCTACATGTCGGCCAGGTTTTTGCCAACAAAGTTGAAGCCGGCTCTCTGCGTCGCGTGCACACGGATTACGCAACACAGATTTGGGTACATGGGCGTCCGATAGGTGGAAGGCCCCGGGAGAGGAGTAGTGTGGTGTCGGTCGTCGTCGGGCGAGCGGTGCCCGCTGGATGGCGGACTGGCCGGCGCCGCACGCGCGTTCCAGTGGGTTGGAAGCAGATCGAGCTCGAACCGCCGACGCCGAGCCGGACACCAATGGCTCCCCTAGCCTCCGTTCGTCCGCACGCAGGTGCAAGTCGCGGCGCATGATGCTTTGCTTGTCCACCAGGTGTGTCGTTTTCTACCGCTACCGAGATTCCTGCAAAATGTACGTTTGCATGCCAAAAAGTTGTTGCCAACTGTTTCTCCCATCCTCTAGACTTTTCCAGCCCGCTTTGACCCCCAGGCCGAGCAATGCTACACTTACGTAGATCATCCTACGTAATTAACGTAAAGGCCCAGCTGGGATTCTCTGATTGGCTAAAAATCAAGGCAAGGGCCCCACCGCCTGAAAATCAGGGGGGGTGGAGAGTTTAGTGAGGAAGGTTACGTAAGAATTTCGTAGCAGTTTCGTAAGTGTAGCATTTTTCCCCCCAGGCCCCAGCACACCTCCAAGGGGCGCCCGCCCGCCCGCCCGCCGCCATGGCTCTGCAACGGACTAGCCGAAAAGGCGAGTCATTGACTGACCCGAGGAGAGGACATGCCCAAATATGGGGCGTAGCACAGTGATATTTTTTTCTTTTAGGCATCGACCGCGGGTGATATGACGCAGGCAGCGTGACGTTTCCGTCCGCGAGGGACGCCACGCGCCCGGGCGCGCGTGGCTATTTGAACGGCGCGACGCCCCAAACTGCTTAGCTTTGCGCGGCCAGCGAAACCACCGGAGTCCGGAGAGAGTAGAAGTGGACGACGCCTTCCCCCTTCCTGGTGTTTGTCCGAGCTGTGTACGCCGCCGCTAGCGCCGTGTGGCGGTGGCCCGCCCGCTCCAGCGAGCGCCGGCCAACGGCGGATCGATGGGTCGATTTACATTTAGCTGATTCAGACAGATTACATTCATCTCAGGCATGCATCCGCGGCTGGTGACCTCGCGTGCCGCCATTGCCGGAGGCTGGCTGGCTGGATGGGCGTCCGCGGCGCCGGTGTTTGCAGCCTTACATCTCAGGTGCGGTTTCTTCCTGCTGTCGTCCCGTACTCGTCCCTCGCTGTTCTAAATTTTCCTGAGGCTTGTGTTTGACATCTCTCGTCGGTGCTGTTTCCATCGCAGGGAAGACGCTTGCTAAAATGTGTGCGTGCCAAGATTCCAGACTGATTGGTGAGATTATAGTTATAAGGGTGGGTCGATTAGCAAACTCTGCCTACTGAATGCCTGACTGGTTCAGGTCTTTGCTTGCTGTTTTCAACTATGTGCCATGTTCTTACTCCACTACATGATGGCAACACAGCCAACTTATACCATCAGAATATATTTCTATTTTTCTCTCAAGATTTTTATTTAGGGCCACAGAATGAAAAATTATAGTACTACTCTGAGAAAGATATAAATAATCAGCAAATATGGGATAACTTAACAAGGACTGTGTGGAGAAGACTGACAAGAGAATGATAGGTTTAATACGAACATCAGATAACTTAACAAGGACATTATTGGTGTTAACCCACCACCCTTTTATTGAATTTGCCCAACAAGCAGCATCCTTCACAACTCTTTCATATCCAATAACTGGGGAAGAGTGTGGCATCAGCAGCAGAGCTCTCCTTGTACCAAATGCAGGCACATCACATGGCTGCTCAAGTCCTTCCTTCCTTCTGTCCCCTAGGACGACTGGAGTTCTCGCCGCTTGCACTCGTTCCTGCACCACTATTTCGTTGCGCCAACATCTGCACTCCAGTGGCAACAAAGCAAAGCTTGTAAGTAAATCTTTCTACATGGATTCAGAGGATACAACAATACCCTGTTCTAATTTACACGCTAAATAGCCCTGCAATAGTCTTTGTGTTGACTGAACTCTCATGCCAGGCTCTATTTCAAAATTTTAATTTCCTGTTTGCAGGTAACTGACAGGATATATTCTGATGTCTCTATTTTGTCTGTCATTTCAGGCAGCCTGCAATACAAACAGGCTTACTAATGCCATGGAATAAGCTACACAATACTCAGAAAAATTACAACAGAACCAACGTGTCGCTGTCTTACAGTAAACATCAATGGTAGCCTGATTCTTGTATAGCCAGAACACCTGTTGACTTCACATCACAGGACAGTTCATCCAAGTACAGTTCTACACAATACAGGTAGCACATCTACCTTTATTGATGAATTTAGAAAATGTACTAGCAGCTTACTTCCTCTGAGTTATGCTGAAACAGTGAAACTGTCAAACACAGCCACATGTATTGTGAATTAGCCAATGAGTTTTTTCCCCCCAATGTATTTTACCTATCATTTACCAAGATATAGGAACTGACACGTTCAGGACCATTCTTTTAAGAGTCTAGATGCAACCACATCATTGAACTGTCTGTTGTGCTTGAGAATAGTCAATCCAAATGAAAAACATATGCCGTACACCATTAGGTAGGAGATATTTTTTGTTAAGGAACCATGGATTGCTTATGTCTAGTTGGAGCGTCAAGAGCGAGACTGCAGCAACTAAGATCATGCTAAAACTGTGAACTGCCTAATTAGTGAAAATGGCCGAAAACAGAGCATTTTCTGATGGTGCAAGGGCGCAACAGGAACCAGAAACTTGATTCCTTGCTACGAAAGTTGGTTACAAATATCAACAGTCATTTAGGTGTACCTTCTTCGATTTTGTATTCTTCAAAGCATCTGTCAGTAGTTTCTCCAGTTTCTCTAGCTCATTAGCATCTGAGTCATCAGCATTGTTTTGAAGAGACCTTCAGGATTGCACATAATCAGCATTGCACTAAACGCGGTAAATAACATACTAGGAGATATGGTGTAAAGCCTCAAGGGCTACCAGGTAGTAATCTCTTCAAGCCTTGACTGTATATTTGAAGGATCTCCATCCTGGTTCAGAACCAACATATCATGTCAGAGATATGTGGGGATATAGATAATCTTGCTTAAAAAGAGTATATAAACAATTATAGAATTTGGCTATCCTGGATACAAAATGGGTGATTACAACCTAGACTTAGATTATGAAAACGATCATATTTGACTCATTTTGCTGGTCATGTGCGTAGGCAACATAATTCTTGATTACAAACACTTCATCTTGCATAGTGCATTTCCGTGGTAAATTCAGAAATACAGACTTATTAAATTCACAGTATGATGCTTGGCAGCTAAATGTCCCACACATAAACTAGCTCTAAGCTATGCAATAGGAAAAGCTATAGCAATTAATTTACATTGTTGTTACTTGCACCGGGTTCATTCACGTCCTTTCCGGCTCCTGCAAATGCCTGATAGCGGTCATATGTACCTTCTATGCTGAAAATAAATGGATAACATTAGCGTTTGGAAACTGTACTTTCAAGCTTTAGGCTCTGGCTGGCAATTTTAAACACAGTTCTAAGTACTATGAGAAAACAGGAAAATAGAACTCATGTCTCTCTGTCTTACCTGTATATAGGTTATGTCTCTCCCTGCAGAAACAATATCTACCTAGTGTAATTTCAGAAGCTTTTGTACCACCTTTTTTATTCAGAACTTGCAATAACAATAATTTTGGAGAGCATATGCAAATAGAGATTTTATGAAGATAGGAATTATAGAAGTATGACTTCACCAAGCTTATACGACCTACAAATTAGGGATTACTGAGTTCAATTTCAGGTAGTATGACTTAACCTGTATATAGATTACTTTGTTTCCATCATAGTTTGCACTAATTTTTGGAGAAAGGGTGGAGTAATTAGAAAGATAAGGGCTAGGGGCCTGAACAAGGCCGACCTATTAACTGCCTAAGAGGTGGTTGATTTGGAAAGGTTCCCATTGAAAGTCCAAGCAGCCTTTAACTCCTTACTGAATGGAAGAGCCCAATATTTTTGTGTAGATCATGATCATGGCCCAATTCACTTTTCCTAAAAGAAGCATAATGAACAATGTATGACATCCAGGAAGGCCCCTACATAGCTCAAGAACAGTATATGATATGGTGGAAGTTCCTGACTGTAAGCAACAATACCGAGTAGAAGCATATGTTCTTGCAAAAGCAGGCATCCTTCAAAGATCCATGAATGACGTAATCCATAAGTCACTAACTTTGGCACAAAATTTCCAGCTGCTAATGTTCTCTCAGTTTAACAAGTAGAAACAAGAGAAGTTCCCTAGCAATTTTTCTTACCGGGCAAAGAGCTCGAGGAAGCAAACATGTAAAGAAACATGCACATAAGGGTTAGGAGTTTTGCCATTATCGAAGGCACCATACAAGATCTTGTTCGAGGATTTTAGTTTGCTTTTGTGGCACAATTTAAACCCTTTGGGCCATCAATTTGCACAAGAACATCCTAGAAGGATCAAAGAAGTGGAACTTAAGCCTTAATAAAAAGTGTGGGCCAAAGATAACAAATGATAATATTGTCCATGAAGGTGACGATGATGTAGCTAAGAAGCTTTCCTTCAGCGCTTGTTCTAAAATGGTATCGTAAAGTTGGGATAACTATAAGAGCATGTTATCCTAGGGTCGTCTTGCTCGACGGAGCATGCCAGTGTCCTTCAACCTTCGACATATGAAGGCCCTCACTGTAAAGAACCTTGACAAGTAGCACACCAACATCCTTCAAGCTTTGGCATATGAAGGCTATCACTATAAAGAACCTCGACATAGAACAATAGTATGGCAAGCCTAGTACCTCCTCATCTGGAGCATAGTGGAAACCTTAAGGCGGAATAAGAAGGCCTCACTTGATCATGAAGTGAATAAAGGCATACAATATCACTCATGTATATATCCCCCTCCCATCACACATTTAGAAGGCAATATCAAAGAACTACTAACATGAGACCAGAGTGTGAGGGGGTATATCTCTTGATCCACAACCTACTGGGATCATCATGAGGGGTTGCATCCTATTTGCTGGCAAAAAGGAATACATATGACATGGGGGTGCTTTGCACCACACTTCTTCCTGCAAAGCCGTATGCCCTATTAGTGTTCTTTCAAATGTTCAAACATCTTGTGTCGCCGATAAACGAGAAATCTTACTTAAGTTTCAAGCCTCGACTTAAGGAAACACACAAAGGGTAAGCAAGACTTTTGAGGAAGGTTGATGCCAGAGCTACTCCTTGGATGTGCACACTCCACCACACAAGCAACTACTACTATTGGGCAACATATGCATTAGATGAGGTCGGGTCACAAGATCACGCTATATTATTTAATCGTGCAAATTTCTGATGAAGATGAGCGCAAGAGCAATAGGCCTACATGAAGGCGCTTTAACAATGGGAGGAAAGACTCCTATATCTATTGCCACGTAATGGAAGCATCACCGGCGTGATGGTCCATAGTGTTAGAGTTATATTATGTTCTATGTATAGCATGTATATTTTCCCGGTGTATGAGGTTTTTGCTCATATTTATCGCGTATACATGAATATATATGCTGGTCATTTGCCCCCATGAAACACAAGTTGCATATTCCTGACATGGTATCAGAGCCTAGTTTTTTTGACACGTGTAATTCATGCTATTGATCCACCATCATGCATCGTCATTCTCTCTCTAGTCGACCCTACTCTGTCTCTCCTGCCGCCGTCGACTCTCTCCCTGTTGCTTCCTCCAATATGAATTGACATATTAAGATCTGATCAATTCATTGTTGATCAATGTTGTTGTTCTCGTTGGTCCACACACACCTGACTGCTCCGCTGCACCCGCCAATCGCTTTGATCTCGTTCGATTTGGTCAATGTCGGGTCAATTCAAACTGCCCGTTGCCTCTCCTAGTCAGCCATTGCCCGTCGGTTGTGTCGCCAGCTCGATTTGGCCACATTGCCGCCTGATTGGTCCGCCTAACATCAACTTGATTCGGCCGTGTGCCCACAGGCCCGCCCCAGACGTCCGCCTGGCACAGCTATCGGCTTTCTGCGCCCCGTTGGTCCGTTGCCAAACTGAGTGGCCCCTCCACGAGCAGGTCTACCGCCGAATCGATTTGGTTGTCTATTGAGTTGGGCATCGGTCCAAAAGACGAGTAAAATAAATTCTAAAAAAAGAGAAGCAATGTCTTCATGGTCAAGTTATGTCACCATTCCTCGGTGCTTGATAATTTTTTATGGTGCTAATTCCACCCAGTTGGTTGCCTTTATGCGCATTCATATGCGTGGATTCATCTATGTGTGTTCTTTCTGGTAAGGCCCCCTGTTTGCCACATATGGTTCCTTCTGTGGCTCCTACTTTGCTGACGCCACCGTCTCTTGCTACGAATGCTCCTCGGGCTGCTAAGGGTGCAGTTAAGCTTGCTGACGAGGATGCGGTTTGTGCTTATGATCAAGAGGTTTTGGCCTATGGGGAGGTCTTGCCACTTACCATGAGGTTCACTTTGCTTACACTTAGTAGTTTGATGAAGATATGTGTTGCGGCTGTTCTCACTTAGTGTTTTGCCGTGGTTTGCGTTTGAGTTTATGGGCCTCGCTACTATATTTGAGACGTGGACCCATCTTGGGCCTCGCTATCAACCCTCTGGTGATGCCTCATACCAGTCTGTGATTCGCCATGAGCATGCTCTTTAGCAGGGTGACTCCACGGTTGATGAGTTCTACACACAGAGTTCTTCTACCTGGCACCAGTTTGAGATTTTGGGTGAAGTGGCTAGTGCATGCAACTCTACATGGTATCAGAACGCAGCTTAGGTTTTATTTCCTGAAACTTAGTGTTGTGGATCCACCTTGTGTTTTAGGGGACTCTTAGAGTTATATTATGTTTCAAGTATAGCTTGTATATTTTTTTGTTGTATGAGGGGTTTCCTGCATATTTACCACATGGCATGTATATATATACTAGCCATTGGCCCCAAAAAATACAGGTTGCATATTTCCTAACATAGAGCATCCTATCAAAGGAGTATTTGAGAATAACCCCAAGGGAGATGTAAAAGGACAAGCTTTGTGGGTGGTGACTTCATACTTTAAAGTGGTCAACCAATCTTCAAGGTGGAACATGTAATTCCTGTGCATGCAAGGATGGATTTTTCAATCCTGGAATAGGGTAAGCGGACTTGTGGGAACAATTGCATCTTTTTCATATTGAACCCTCATTGAGGAACTTGATCAAGGGCATGTTTCATTCGAGGCACCTTTTGAGATTGGTGGGAGCTAAGGAACCTTAGGAACTATTCCACTACCCCGTTCCAAATCTAAAGACCGTCCTGGACAAAGCCCCTCAAGGGATCATTATCCAACCAAGTAATGCTTGAAGAATTCATGGAGAATATTTGAAGAAATTAGAAGCAAAATTGGTTTTGTGAGATCAATGTTCATCTAGAATAGCAGTTATCCCCTCATTATCTCACATTTGTCCGTCCAACGTTGAACAAACTCTCAAAGTGAATTGAAAGATTGGTCTTCTTCAAGCATTAACATTTGGCTCCAGCATAAACCTTTATCCTTAGACCATCATCATGGACACACATAGGAAACGTGGAACAAATCTTTGACCAAACGCGATAGGCTAGATCATTGATGAGAGAAATAATGGAGCATGCTAGAAAAACTGAACTTATACCTTACATAGCTCTCTCATGCAATGGGCTTACTTGATTCTAGAAGCTCAAGTGCTCACATCACAAACCATGACTCAATGGGAAAGGATGGTGAGGAAGACTTTGAATGCCTTTGACAAAGCATTAGGACCTTTTGACTTCTTGCTCAATGGCACCAAGAGGCGCCTTTTTGGTCCCTTTTTCGAGGCATAATCGTGGTGCTTGCATGAATGTGGTGGTGTGCTGAGGCATCCCTACGTTATTAAGGTGTTCCATAATCAAGCTTCGAAGTGGTCCAATTATTTGACATCTGGCAATACCGGTCTTATAGTTAGTGGACTTTCTATACCATATATCCATCCGCGAAAGAGTGTTATGTCAGATAACTTTAATGGGTGTCTAAGATGAATCCCCTTGAATGGAATGGTGCGGTTCCTTTTCTTATCCGTGCCAAAGGGGTAAGCGATAAAAACATGTGTTTTCGCCCCTTGGCACGGGGTTTGGAGCAATACGGCTTATAGAATCTGACAATACACATATTAGGAAGTTACTTTAGTAACACCTCTTAAGGAGCAGAATATATGTTTAATTGCGACCTCCAAGGAAAATCATTGGAAATGGGATGTGGTTGATTTCTTGTCCGTCAAAGCTTACGTTGATGTATTTAGGCATGGCATGCCATACTTGGGTTGGATCCTTATGTCGTTAGGTAGATGATGAGTTCAACGTTCAACTTGGTGACACCCCACCCCTGAAGTGGAGGTATATATATTCCCTTGCAAACTTTTGT